GACATATATGCACTCAACTAGCTATTTAAATCTTACAACATTGAGAGCATCCAGGGACAGATATTTAATTTTCATTTTACAGGTGAGAAGTCTAAACAACCAGGAGTTTTGTCACTTGTTTCAGGAAAACTTTATAAGCTTGAAGCTTACTTACAAAAGAATCCAATATTTGCATGGCAGAGACTGCTGGTTTTCCACCAAAATCCATTGTCTCCTTCTTGCATCAGAATAAGAGTTTAAGCTTGGATACCTCTGTCCTGTTAGAGACTATATTTCCCAGACTTCCATGCAGTGAGGCCATGTAACTGTTTACACCAATGAAACGTGAATGGAAGTGATTTGTGCACATCCCTCCCATTCCTCTTGCTTAAAAGGAAATTGCTGCCCTGTGCTTTTCCCCCTTCTATTTCTTCTTCCTGCGAGCTGAAACCCAGGTGTGCCTGCAACCCATCTCCAACCAAGTAGAAAAAGACAAGTCCCTTAATGCCTTGCTGCTCAAAAGGGTGGTTTCCTGAGAGCTTGTTAATATCTTAGACTTCATCCAAGACCTACCGGATCAGAATCTGCATTTTAACAAGATCCCAGGTGATTCACATTCACATTCAACTTTGAGAAGCACTGCTTTAGGGGATAGCCGAGGAACTTTATGGATGGAATGTTTGTCTTTGAACAACCTCATGAAGCAGAGACATTTCTTTCCCCTCAACTCCTCCATAATCTGCTACCTTCTTTAAGCAATTGAATTTTGAGGCCTCTTTGTTGTTATAGCAGCTAAGCATTCACCCTAATATAATTTGCCTCATCTGTTGACCCAAAACTAGGTTATGCATTCATTTAGGAAATACATATTGAACACATTTTATAGGCAAAGTACTATTCTGGTATATAAATATAAATACAATTTAGGAATATAATATACACATATATATATAAAGGCTGGGCTTTTTCTCTCCAAGAGTTTATAATTTAATAGAGGGAAAAAGACATAGGAATATTAAATTTATAGATGCTATAAGAAAGTGTATTGGATATTTGCTGTTTTTTTGGAGGCGTGTGGTAGACAGAATAATGCTTCCCCAAAGATGTCCATATTATAATCTCCTGAAACTGTGAATATCAGATTTTGCAGATATGGTTAAGGATTTTAAGATAAGATTGCCCTGGATTATCCAGGTGGGGCCAATGTAATTGTGACCATGGAACCAGGCAAACAAAGGGTTACTGGGGATCTGACCAACAACTAACATGGTCTGTCAAATGTTTTTCAGATAAGAAGAGACTATGTGTTTTGTTGCAGAAATTGATGTCCCTGTTTTGCAGATGTTGCTATCTTGTAGACAAACTTATACATTTGCAGCAAGACCCCTGCAAAATGTTCCAGCACCAAGGGTCCTAAAGTTACCTTAAACTCATTAGCATCTTAAGTTCTCCTCCTCTGGGAGGGTCCAGGCAGCCATTTTCAGATCATGTGATGTGTGTAATAGCATGTTTACCTCCTATGCATGTGCCTAAATGTGCCCAGTTGTTATAAATAACTCTGTTATCCTCTGCTCTCTTGTGTATAAAGTCTCCACTTGCACTGAGCTCGGGGAGACACTGAATTGGGAGCTATCCCAGGTGTGGAGCTTCTCCATTGCTTGTGCAAGCAATAAACCTTTCTTCACCTAATTCTGCCTTGGTTGTGCTTTTTGGCTCTGCGCTCACCAAGAGATGAAACCACTGAGTTCAGTTACATAATCACAAGGGCCCTTATAAAGAGGGAGGCAGAGGCTCAGAGTCAGAGGAGGAGCTGTGCGGATGCAAGCAGATGTTGGTGTGATGCCGTTGCTGGAACGGGGGCCATGAGACCATGTGGGAAGTCTCCAGGATCTGGAAAACGTAAGGAATGGAGTCTCCCCTAGAGCCTCCAGAAAGAGTGCTGATACCTTACAGTTAAGAATTCTGGGACTTCTGTCTGCCAGAACTGTAAGATGATACATTTGTCTTGTTTTAAGCCACTAAATTTGTGATAATTTGTTACAGCAGCAATAGGAAACAAATACACAGCTCTTCCGTTGCTGGCAGCCCATGCCCCATACCTCAATGTGCCTGAGTAGGAGGCAGAGCCAGACATTCCTGTCCTCATCATGGGCGAATTATATATTCTTGCTTAGGTCAGGGAACTAGAAATTACTCATGGAGGTGGTGGCAGGAGTGGCCAGACTGTTTCTGTGACATGACCTTGCCTATGTCCCCTGCTGTCCATATCCCTTGGTTCCTATCCATTATCTGTGCCTGGTTTGTTGTTTTCCCTACTGATTCTGTTGGCTTACCCTATATTCTACCAATCAATTCCTTCTCTGGTTTCTGTTGTTTACAGCCAAAAGCTCTGACTAGTTCAGAGAGCCATGTACTTATCTGCATGTGTGCATATTTCAATATTCTGAGTAGATTTTCAGTCTTATGAGGGCAGGACCTTTGTTTGATCCATCTTTGTATCCACAGCTTCTATATTGAGTGTCTTGCACTCACTCAATATGTACTTGTCGAATATGAGGAACACACGACTACAATGTAATGCTACTTGATAGAAAAGGGTAATTGTAGGAGTAGGCTTTAAGTGTATACAAAAGAGGTAGCATTAAAGGGACTTTAAAGTTGGATAGGATTTCTGTTGGCCAGAGGAGGAGGGGGCATTCTAAGCAATGAACCTGTAAGTAGTTGACTAACTAAAAATGTTTCTTAAATTTGGCCACATTTTACAGACCTTATTTATTTATTTATAAACATGCAGGTTAAGATATTACCAATATAGTCATTATTTTAAAAAGTCACCCTTAAGCAGAAGATTCTATCCATTAGACAGACACATGTAGACCAGGGCTGAGCAATGTATGGTATGTGGGGCAAGGTTGCTACCATCTACAACTTTCGCTGACCTTGAGGAAGGCCAGCTATGCAAATTTCCTTTTATGCTTCCTTTCAACTGCTAGCACCATTCCACATCCGTATTCCACCCCATTTGTCTTAAATTCAGATCTCCAGATCCCCCAACAAGGCTAGACATTAGTTGCACCAAATGGTGTGTGTGTGCACTAAAAACAAACTTGGTCTAGAAGACTGCCTGATCATGTATAGAACGAGTAAGCTTCAAGTAGGTTGCTCGCACATCCAATTCTCACAGCATCAAATAATTCCAGAGTGCCTACCAGACAGTCATATTCCTGTTTATAGTCTGGTGGGAGAATACAGACATTAAAGGAATAGAAGTATGATGAAAGTTACTGGAGGGAGAACACAGGGTACAATGAGAGCACAGTACAGAGGATGATGGGCACTGGCATCCTTCTGACTTTAGGCCTCCTTTCTGTCAACTTCAACACAGGGCAGCAAAGATTTTCACACAGAGGACCTAGCCAATATATATATATATTTTTGTGTGTGTGTGTGTGAAGATTAGCCCTGAGCTAACATCCAATGCCAATCCCCCTCTTTTAGCTGAGGAAGATTGGCCCTGGGCTAACATCTATTTTCTTCCTCTACTTTATATGGGATGCCGCCACAGCATGGCTTGACAAGCAGTGTGTTGGTCTGCACCCGGGATCCGAACCTGTGAACCATGGGCCACCAAAGCGCAGCACGGGAACTTAACCGCTATGCCACGGGGCCACCCCCTAGCCAATATATTTTTAAAGATATATTTTATAGAAATATATTACATTTGGAAAATAACGTACCCATGGCCCACTACTCTAATTGCACCATATGAAATCCCTCAAGTTTTTATTGTGTAATTTGTGATAGCCATCATTTATTGCATACTATGTGCAATGCACTGTGCTAAGCATCTTCTAAACATGATCTTATTTACTCCTCACAACAATCCTATAACGTAGATACAATTTTTTCTATTTTATAGATAAGGAAACTGAGGCTCAGAAATGTCATGCAGGTAGTAACAAGTCTGAATCTATGACCACTAATTTTATGTACTTACAATCATAATGCTTAATAAATTTGATATACTCTTCCCACTTAACATTAGCTATATTACTTTAAATAACGTTCTACAGCATTTTGGTCACATTTTGGATCATATTCTTACGATATGACTTGAAGTAGCAAAATAGTGAAGGGTGGCTAAGACTCCTGATGTAGATTGATGAAATAGCTCTCCAAATGGGTTGTATTGTTTTGAATATGGGGAGTTTCAACACATCTTTTGCAGCATTTGGGATCATTATAAAACCTCCTTATTAGGCAAGAAAGTACCTCAATTTCAACTTGCATTTCTTTGAAATTCCTCCGTTCATTTACAGGTTTTAGTTCCTCTCTAATTCACTTAGCATGCTTGAATTTGTCTCTGCCACGCCGATTTAGTTTAGAGACGCCACAGAAACCTTCCAGTCTAACTCCCTCATCTTCCAGACTGGGGAAGCAGGTCCAAGACCATTGAGCGGAGGGCTACAGGTAACTTCCACCAGCTAGTCAGGGGTGGGACTCACAGGGCGGTTTTTCTACTGCCTTACTAGATTCGCCCTAGGGTCCGAACCGGTTGTTAGAAACAACAGTACATTACAATCAAGGCAGACCTATCTCTGAAGTATTCACAGCGCTTCGACATTTATTCTTGTCACAAAATCCTGAAAGGGAGGGCTAGACATTGTCATTAATAAGTAGACAGACGCAGTTGAGGGGCAGAGCAAGGCCTCTCTCAGCTCTTCTACTGGCTACATTAACAACAAGAAAAAAATCCCCCACTCATACAAACCCACAATTTCCAAACCGGGGAAAAAGACCTTTTGAAAAAGCCGCAGCGATGCGGAGACCCCACTCCCTCTGCGGCCAGGCAGGGCGGGCCCGGCCCACGAGGCCGGCGGGCGCGGGGCGGGTGCAGTGCGCAGGCGCGCACCTGTTCTGGCGCAGGGGCCTCGTGCCCGCGCGCCGCGCCCGTCGCCCCGCGCTCCCCCGCCTCTGCCGGCTTCCCCCCACGTCTCCTTGGTCTCTCCACCCTCCAGGCCCCGCCTCGCCGCTCCTCGTCTCCTCCCTGCAGTCGCCGGTGGCTCCGCGGGCGAAGTGCGTGTTGTTGCGTCATCGCCAGTGGCCGGTTTGAATGAGGCTCTTGTCGCACCCCAGCTGCCGCCACCACCGCGCCTCCGCCTCGGCCGCCGCCGCAGCTTCTTCGCGTCCCTTTCCCTTCGACGCCCTTGCCAGGCCCAGCTTTCCTGCGCCGCCGCCGCCCCTCGCGCCTCACCATGCCGCTCTACTCCGGTGAGCTCCCTCCTCGCCTCCTGCCCAGCCCGGCGCTAGGCCTCTGGGTAGGCCCGGCCTGCGGGGCGGGCGCCCGGCCGGGCCCTGGGCGGGGGAGGAGACAGGGAGGCGTGTGTGTGTGGGAGGGTGACTGCGGCGTGGAGATGACCCTGGCCCCTTTCTCCCTGCTAGTTCCGAGCCCTGCGACTCGAGGGGGCGCTGTCCTCCTGGGCCGCCAGGTGGGTGGGGTGGGAGCGGAGATGGAAGCAGCGAGCGCTGGCCTCTCCGAGTGGTGACTCTGCAGAATAGTTTCTGCCGCTGTCCTGGGGTGCCGGGAAGGGCGAGGGTGTGTCCTGGGGCACCGGGGACCAGGCTGGAGGTGTGGGGGCATTTCCTTGGGCTCCTCGGTGGTAGCTGGGGAAGGGAGCGGCAGGGAGGCGAAGCCCGAGCTAAGGGAGGGATGGAGGGACTCGGGATGTGAGGTTAGCCTTCATCGTTCTGGGGTTTTCCCTCCATAGCTTCCCTGCTTTTGGCTCAGCCGCCCCTTTTGTACCAATTTAAATTTTATGCTGAGGCAGATTGCGAGTTTATTTTTTTGCTTCGTTTTCATTTTATCAAACATTGTCCTTTGGGCTTCTATGTCCCAAGCATAGTGTTAGCTTGGAGAGGTAGATGAATACAAGTATCCATGAGCGTCATTTCCTTTTGATTGGCGTTTGACAGGTTTTTTTTTGCATAATGGCCGTCCAAGGTGTTGGCCAGGAATCCCATTTTTACTTAGTTAATGGACCTTGCTGTTTCCTAGTCTTGTGCAAAATGGCACCTAAAATGTATGTGGTGGCTCCAGTTGGTTATGGATGTGTGATTCATTGGCCATTCCTGACTCTCTCATAATTCCTTTATTGAAGATTCAGTATTTTCAACGAGTGATATGAAACAAAAGAGGAATATTTACTCTCTAGGTGGGTTCTTGATGTTTTAGATTCCTCTCTTTGTTCCCCTCAAAAATGCCTTTACTCACCAAACTATCTTAAAAATTGAGTTCCATTTTAAATATTTAATTAGATCTTTTCCTCATTTCCGAAATGAGGGCATTGAAGTAGATCTCTAAGGTTTCTTCCTTTGACATCTCCGTATTGAGAATCTGTATTTTCAGGTTCTGCAGAAAGCCCTATATTAAAACGAGAACATTTTAAGAACTGTTTCATAAGTTTTAGTAGAAAATTAAATATTCAGATTCTTATATGGTTAAGGATAAGTGTCATAAAAATTAATGAACACCTGTGTGCCTGGTGCAGAGCTAGTGTTTTTATACATGGTACTTTGTTTTAATCTTTAACATAATCCTGTGATACTAGTATAATTCTCCTTTATGGAAAGCAGCAAGTTTAAGTAACAGCTAAGTTTAAGTGACACAGCTAAATAAATTTCAGATAGGTTCTTCATTGTTTCTAATACTGTTTTGGTTTAGTTCTGTCTCATCTCTTGCTACTATATGTTTCTAGCTTATCTCAGTGATTACAGTTGTGCTCGCTTCAAACCTGTTTTCCCTGCTGCTGCCTTTATGAAAACCTTTGAGGACTGCACATGTCCTGCAACATAGAGCCCCATACATTTTAGCATGACTTATGTTATCTTCCTTGACTTGATCCTTGGCCAGGTTCCAGTTTGAGCTGCTTCCTCTTCACTCCGGGAATTACTTATATCTCAGAACACTCCATGCTGCTTTGTGCTTTTGAATGTTTTAGAAAAACATTCAATGTCTTTTCCAGGAATGCTTTTATTCTCTCCTCTTCTCTGGCTAACACCTGATTTTTTTTTTGAGACTCAACTCAAAATCAGTTGTGATAACTCAAACTTATCACTTCCTTCAGGGAATCCTTCCTCACTCATGAAGCATTCCTCTGTGCCCCTCTAGCATTTACAATATTTATATTGTTAATTTTTTAACCTTTTTTCCCGTCTCTCCCTTATTAGACTATAAGTTCATAGCGAGTCTCCCTAGTGCTTGTTACTGGGCTTGTTATTGAATGAATGCTAAGTACATTAATTGAATTGGTGAAAGAATTAGGATTTGGAGTTGGAGTCGGTTTTTCATATTCTGATTTTAGTAGTTGGAAATCAGACAACTCTCAGCTGTGAGATTCTCATTTTGTGTAGGTATGAAGTTTTCAGTGGAAACAAACTATGTATATCCTTGAGTTTCTTTTTACATATTTCAAAAGTTACCTGTTTTAGGAGGCTGATTGAAATTTTTTTGTTGTGGTAAAGTATATGTAACATAAAATGTACTATTTTAACTATTTTTAAGTGTACAGTTTTTGGCATTAAGTACATTCACATTGTTGTGCAACCGTCATCACCACCCACCTCTACAACGTTTTCATGTTCCTAAACTGAAACTCTGTACCCATTAAACAATAAGTCCCTATTTCCACTTCCCCCCAGCCTGCTGGCAACCACCAGTCTACTTTCTATGAATTTGACTACTTTAGGTACCTCACATAAGTGGAATCATACAATATTTGTCCTTTTTTACCTGGTGTATTTTGCTTAGCATAATGTTTCCAAGGTTCATCAGTGTTGTAGCATATGTAAAGAATTTCATTACTTTTTAAAGCTAAATATCCATTGTATGTATATATCACATATTGTTCATCCATTCATCTGTTGATGGACACTTGGGTTGCTCCCATCTTTAGGCTATTGTGAATAATGCTGCTGTCAATATGGGTATACAGATATCAGTTTGAATCCCTGCTTTCCATACTTTTGGGTATATACTTAGAAGTGGAATTACTGGATCTTATGGTAATTCTGTGTTTAATATTTTGAGGAACCACCATACTTTTTTCCATAGTGACTGCACCATTTTATATTCCCATCAGCAATGCGCAAGTGTTCGAATTTCTCCACATCCTCACCAACACTTGTTATTTTCTGTGTTTTATTGTTTTTGGTTTTTTTGGTTATAGCCATTGTAATGTCTGTGAAGTAGGATTTCTATGTTTTTTAATGATTTAGTTATATCGTTGGATTCTTCTTAATAATTTCCTTGCACAGGAACCACACCTTTCAGTTCTCCCACACCTTTCTTCTTATAATCCAGAATTTTTATAGCTTAGCCTATTTTAAATATGCTTTGTTCTTCCAGGAATTTTTTTCTTCTTTCAGATTATCTTTCTAACCTTTCTTTCTTCTCTGTATTCCAGCAGTATGTACTGATTTCAATAATTGTTTAATTAAACACATTTTGGAGTCTGTGAACCTTATCCTGGGAACTATTTCACTGTGATCACATTTTGTAGAGATTATGGGAGTAGGATTCAGAAGACTTAAATATTTGCTAACTAGTTTTGTGACATTAGTAAATCAATCAACTTCTCATAAGTCTCTTTCTTTATCAGATGAGAAGTTGGGATTAGATCCAGTTAAATTTTGTTCAGACCTACTGTATTCAAGTCACTCCTGATTAGGTAGGCATTATGAGCATAAAAAGATGAATGACATAGTTTGGCTTTCAAGAACTAACGTAATAGGTCCCCTAAGGATCTTCTAAATCTGAAGTCTTATTATTTTGTAAATTAAAAAAATAAATTATGGTTTTATTTGCAGTTACTGTGAAATGGGGAAAGGAGAAATTTGAAGGTGTAGAATTGAATACTGATGAACCTCCAATGGTGTTCAAGGCTCAGCTTTTTGCACTGACTGGAGTCCAGCCGGCCAGACAGAAAGTTATGGTGAAAGGAGGAACATTGAAGGTAAAATTTAGTCCATATTTGCATTATGTACTATTTATTATATAATTAGTGAAAATAAGTAACACCAGAAATGTAGCATATGAGGTATTTTTTATTTGGTGAGAGTATATAGTCTATGGGATTAAGACTGTCTTATTCATGTTAGTGTCAGAGAGGAACATTGTAGCCATTTCAAAACATTATATTATAAAAACGTCATTAAAATTTTTATTTTAAAATGCATTGTATCAATGAATACCACTAGGGGTCAGGTGAGTGGGGCACTTTGCATTTATTTGTATTGTTTGAATTTTTTTCCTGTGAGGGTGTGTTAGAAGTATTTTATTTTGTTTAGACTAATATAAAATCTATTTGTATTTCCTTAGTAATTTTCTGTTATGGGGTGGAAAATTTTATCTCTGTGAAAAATATGGAGCAATATGGTGATTTGCTTTTTTAAAAAAGACCACTACGGAATGTATTTTTGTACATGCATTCAAATGTTGAAATACTTTGAGTCTTTACCAAAGCCTCATACTTTGAATCTTTACCAAAGCCGCAGTGCTGGAACATTGGAAAAACTGTTAAGTTTCTTCTTTGACCTTTCTTACATCCTACCCATTAGAAAAGAGCCCTTTTCTCTTTTTTTTTTTAATTTTAGGATTGGTGAATATAGCAACACTCACATCTTTTTTTTTTTATTTTATTTTTTCCCCCAAAGCCCCAGTAGATAGTTGTATGTCATAGCTGCACATCCTTCTAGTTGCTGTATGTGGGACGCGTCCTTAGCATGGCCGGACAAGCAGTGCGTCAGTGCGCACCCAGGATCCGAACCCTGGTCACCAGCAGCGGAGCGCGTGCACTTAACCGCTAAGCCACGGGGCCGGCCCAAAGGGCCCTTTTCTCTTAAGAGTAATCACTATCTAATACCTACCTGGAAATGGGAGAAAGAAAATTTTTGCTTAGGGCCTGCCGTGGCTTAACGGTTAAGTGCGTGTGCTCCACTGCTGGCGGCCCGGGTTCGGATCCCGGGCGCACATCGACGCACTGCTTCTCCGGCCATGCTGAGGCCGTGTCCCACGTACAGTAACTAGAAGGATGTGCAGCTATGACATACAACTATCTACTGGGGCTTTGGGGGAAAAATAAATAAATAAAAATTTAAAAAAAAGAAAATTTTTGTTAAAAAGAGAAGGAGCTTAATTTTTCCTTTAGTTCCCTTGGAATGATCACATTGACTATAGCGAAGAGTCCAAGCTTACCAGCGTCATTGATGAAGAGCTGCAAAGCAAAAGTATTTTCTTTATTATTGTTTGTAATACTATTTAGGTGTAGTATTTTATTTTATTATTATTTTTATTTATTTATTTATTTTTTTGTGAGGAAGACCAGCCCTGAGCTAACATCCAATGCCAATCCTCCTCTTTTTTTGCTGAGGAAGACTGGCCCTGGGCTAACATCCGTGCCCATCTTCCTCCACTTTATATGGGACGCCGCCACAGCATGGCTTAACAAGCGATGCGTCAGCCCGGGATCTGAACCGGTGAACCCCGGGCCGCCGCAGCAGAGCACGCGCACCTAACCACTTGCGCCACCAGGCCGGCCCCTAGGTGTAGTATTTTAAAAGATAATTTCTTCAAGAGTTAGATATGAAATGCTAAAAAGCTGTCGTTAACTTTAGAAATAAGGGCTGGCTACCCTTGTCAGCTAGGCAGTAAAACAGATGTTGGTGAAGAAACATTGTTTCCCCTCCAAGTTGTAGTATGAGCTTTTGGTCATTAGTGAACTTGATAACGTAATTTGTGCTGAGCTATGTACTAGTGGTGTGTTGTGGAGAATTATAGAAAAATGCTAATTAAATGAAATTATGAGTACTGATAGCTACCACTTATTGAATACTTATTTTGTACCATGCTTTTCCCTTGTTTTAATTCTCAACTGTATGTATTTTAAAAGCGAGGAAAGTAAATGTATTTTTTATATGTGTATATATATATATATATATATACACACACACATATATATATATTTTTTTTATTTGAGGAAGATCAGCCCTGGGCTAACATCTGCCAATCCGCCTCTTTTTTTCTGAGGAAGACTGGCCCTGGGCTAACATCCATGCCCATCTTCCTCCACTTTACACGGGACGCCGCCACAGCATGGCTTGCCAAGCAGTCTGTCGGTGCGCGCCCGGGATCCGAACCGGCGGACCCAGGGCCGCCGCAGTGGAGTGCGCGCACTTAACCGCTTGCGCCACCGGGCCAGCCCCATTTAATATATTTTTTTAAATGAGGAAACTGAGCATCAGAGAGGTTTGAGTAACATATAGTAAGGTACCAAAAGAGTATGCGATTTACAAGTCAAGCAGATCTGGGTTCATTTCCCAGCTTTGTGTGACCTGGAATAAGTAAGTGATCTGAGGGGGCATACATAATTACCATTCGTTATGATTAGCAGTAATAACCCTTAAACTGAGAAGGGCCTTTAGGAAGTTCCTGTTCCACTTTGAAGCAGGGTGTTGAAAGAGATAATTAGTGGCATATCAAAGGAAAGCATATTGAGTGCCTGGCACCTTCTGTAAAAAGAAAGGAGTAATATGGAACTGACTTTATTCTGTGAAAGGAAGGGCTTAGCGGCAGTAGGCAAAAATATCTGTGGGCCAATCATGGCATTAAAAAGAAAAATCTTAATTTAATTGAACCTGTTGAAGTGAAAGTGTTTAATTGCTTCATAGATGTAAAATGTAGGACCTGAGAAATATTTGTGGACATGGCAAATATTATTAAGGGTTAGTTTGCCTCGTAGTCTTTTTTACTCTCCTGATATAATTTTTAATATCACTTTCATTCTCAAGAGTCTCTTGATTTGGGTGATAAATTATATAATCACCCTAATTATGTAGACCTTATGTTATAAGTTACTCTTCATTCTTCTCACATAAGCTAGTTATTAGCTCTGCTGGTTCTGAACATGCAATAAACATGCAAAAAATTAGCATCTGTCATTTGTCATTAATCAAGTGTTTTTTAGTACTTTTGGTGCTACCAAGTTTACTGTCTTTTAGATTGTGTGTTACGTAGTTTAAGCAATTGTTAGACTTAGTAGGACTTCGTGGGTTTTTTGTTTTTGTTTTTGTTTTTGTTTTGTGAGGGAGATCAGCCCTGAGTTAACATCTGCTAATCCTCCTCTTTTTTTTTTGCTGAGGAAGACCAGCCCTGGGCTAACATCCCTGCCCATCTTCCTCCACTTTATACGGGACGCCACCACAGCATGGCTTGCCATGTGGGGCGTCAGTGTGCACCTGGGATCCGAACCAGCGAATCCCGGGCCGCTCCAGTGGATCTTGCGCACCCAACTGCTGGTGCCACCAGGGCGGCCCCGGTTTTTTGTTTTTTTTTTAAATACTTTTGATTACAGTAATTTTTAATATAATCTTCATACATAAAAAAAATTCTATTTTGAAGTAGTTTAAAATTAGTTGTTTATTAGATTGTGTTTGGATTGTACAAGATGGTTAAATGTTTTTTTGTCTTTAAAACAGGATGATGATTGGGGAAACATCAAAATAAAAAATGTAAGTATTATCTAAGAACACTTATTATAATGCAGTTTCCTAATTATTATGCCAAAATATATTCCAGATGCCTTTTTTTCCATATGTGTATCCAGTTGTTCCAGCACCATCTGTTGAAAATACTCTCCTTTTCCCATTGACTTGTGTTGGAGTCTTTCTTGAAAATCAATTGTATGTCTATTTTTGGACTCTTATTTATTGATATTTGATTAAACTTATATAAGTACCACATGGTCTTGATTACTAAAGCTTTATAATAAGTCTTGAAATAAGATAGTGTGTTTGCAAACTTTTTATTCTTCAAGAATATTTTAGCTCCTTTGCATTTGCTTGTAATTTTAGAATAAGTCTGGCAGTTTCTACAAATGGACTCCTGGAATTTTGTTTGAGATTGCATTGCATCTGTAGTTCAATTTGGGGAGAATGAACATCTTAACAGTATTGAGTATTAAAATCCTTAAATATGGTGTATTTTTCCAATTATTTAGGTCTTTATATTTTCTTAGCAGAGTTTTGTAGTTTTTCAGTATAGAGATCTTACATGGTTTTTGTTAAATTCTTGGAACTTGATGTTTCTTGACTGTTGAAAATGGTATTTTTTAAAAATTTCATTTTCCTGTGTTCACAGCTAGATTATAAAATACAGTTTATTTTCATCCTGTGACCTTGCTAAATTCACTTACTAGTTCTAGTAATTTTTTCTGTATATTCCATTGGGTTTTCTATATACATAGCATATTATCTGCAAATAGAGGCAGTTTTGCTTCTCCTTTTCCAATCTTTGTAACTTCTGTTTCTTTTTATTGTCTTACCCCATTGGCTAGGACATCTAATACAGTGTTGAAAAGAAAGTGGTGAGAGTGGACATCTTTGTCTTTTCCTAGTTTACCAAGACCTTTAAAATTATGAATGGCTGTTGAATTTTGTTAAGTGCTTTTCAGTCACTTATTAAAATGATCATATGATGTTTCTCTGTTATTCTGGTAATCTGGTTATTCTCACTGATTTTTGGCTGGTAAACCTTGCATTCCTGGGATGTGCAGTTCTGATTTCTTGGTCTTCGTGACCCCTTTACACTCTTAAAAATTATTTTTAAATCCCAAAGAGTTTCATATATATGAGTTATATCTACTGATTGAGAAATTTAAAAATAACAATAACAATTATTTCATATTTCATATAACATAATGTTAATTTCATATTTAATATTTTTCAAAACAAAAAAATAGTGAAACAACTGGCATTGTTCTATATTTTTGCAAATCTCTTGGCAATCTAGCTTAGTAGAAGAAAACTGAATTCTCATATTTGCTTCTGCATTCAATCTGTTGTGGTATGTTGTTTTGGTTGAAGTATATGTAAGAAATCTGGCCTCACATAGTTAAATAGTTGGAAAATGGGGATGTCTTTTCAGATAAAATGGTGAACATTCTTGCATAGTACAGCAAAACTCAACACGTGGTAGTTTATTATGGGTTAGTTTGATGTGGTAGAAGCAACATCAGTGACCTTTTGTGTATTAAAATCTATTTGTCTGTTTTGCACTTAGAATGGATTTTCTATCCATGCATGATTTTGAACATCATATATTGGTCATTTGGTAAATACTGATTTTCTGAGTTATTTAGATCTTATGTATGTGATGCATTTCGTTGTACACTGTCAAAAAATTGTATTCGTTAATGTCGCTACCAACCTCAACAAAAAAGTCTTTAAATATTGGAAGGCTGCCAAGTGCATAGTGACAGATACAAAATTCTAATTTTCACTTGAAAGCCTTGATTTTGTCATTGGCAACTGTAAATATTGTCAGTTGTTTTCCCTGAAGCAACAGGCTAACTTCATTCATTTCTGAGAAAATGTTGGCTAAATACCTAAGTCTAAAAACCCATAATTTCACAGTTGTTTTGAGTAAAAATGATATTCCATTAAAAAAAAAGCAACTAGTCCAGTTTGCAACTCAAACATTTGCACAAGCTTATCCTAAAGACAGCTATCATACTTTGGTATGCAGAAGTGGGTTTCTTTTTTTAATTGATTGGCACTTTGTAAATTTTTTTTAAATGGACTTTATTTTTTAGAACAGTTTTAGGTTTACAGCAAAACTGAGTGGAAGATACAGAGCTTTTCCATATACGCTCCTCCCCTCCATATGCATAGCCTTCTCCATTATCAACATCCCCCACCAGAGTGGTATGATTGTTCATCTGTTACAACTGATGAACCTATATTGACACATCGTTATCACCCAAAGTCCATGGTTTACCTTAGGGTTCTCTCTTGGTGTTGTACATTCTGTGAGTTTGGACAAATGTATAATGACATGTGTCTACCGTTATAGTGTCATACAGAGTAGTTTCATTGCCCTAAAAATCCTCTGTGCTCCGCCTATTCATCCCTTCCTTTCCCCAGACTCCTGGCAGCCATTGATATTTTTACCGTCTCCATAGTTTTGCCTTTTGCAGAATGTCAATACTTGGAATCATACAGTATGTAGCCTTCTCACATTGGCTTCTTTCATTTATTAATATGTGTTTAAGTTTCCTCCACGTCTTTTAATGGCTTGATAGCTCAGTTCTTTTTAGTGCTGATTAATATTCCAGTGGATGTGTCACAGTTTGTTCATTCACCTACTGAAGGACATCTTGGTTGCCAGGAAAAGTAAGTTTTTTATGGACACTTCCTATTCCGTAATACAGAATACCAAAAAGAAATGTATTCAGAGGTTGAGATTTAATAAAATTAATTATTTTTACCAGTTCATTTTGATGTCACTGCTTTGATACATGCTAAACTGTTAAATATTTTAGCTGCTATTGATTTACCACCATCAGTGCAGATGTCGACACAGCGAAAAAGGGAAATAAGTAACATCTTGGTATTATTAAGAAAATAGTTTTGACCTTGCTGGCTCTGTGAAAGAATCTCAGAGATCCATAGGGATTCACAGACAACACTTTGAGAACTGCAACCTGGGACAAAGCCACTAAGTCATGATGTATTTCTCTCTTTTATGTATTGCTGGATTTAATTTTCTCATATTTTTAAGGATATTTGCATATATGTTTATGAGGGATATTAGTATTTTTATTTTGTGTCATCTTTCATTTTGGTATCAGGGTTATGTTGGACTCATTAATAGAGTTGGGGAAGTATTCCCTTCTCTTTTCTGAATGAGTTTGTATAAGATTGGTATTATTTCTGTAAATATTTGAAATAGTTTACCAGTGAATTCTATCTGGACCTAGGTTTTCTTCATGGGAATTTATTTGATTGATATTCAATTTCTTTAATAGATATAGGGCTATTTAGGTTTTCTGTTTTTTCTTAGGTCAGTTTTGGTGAGTTTTCTCATTTGAGAAATTAGTTTGTTTTATTGGCATAAAGTCGTTCATAATATCCAGAATATTCATTAATTATCCTTTTATATCTGTTATTATTTATTATGTTCCCTCTTTGATTCCTGATATAAGTAATATACGTTCTTGCTTATGTTTTGGTTGGTGCTGCTAAGGATTTATCAATAAATCTTTTAATTTTTGACTATTGATTTTATATATCGCCCATTTTCTGTTTTATTGATATCTACTCCAAATTACTTCCTTTATTTTTCTGCTTTGGGTTTAAATTGCTTCATTTTCTTGTTTTTTAAAGTGTATGCTTAGAACATTGATTTTTATACCTTCTTTTCTTATGTAAACATTTAAAATTAATATTATTAATTTCTCTTTAAGCACTTTTGGCTATATCCACAAATTTTGATGTCCTATGTTTTTATTATGCAGTTAAAATATTTTCTTTTTTGTGAGGATGATCAGCCCTGAGCTAACATCCAATGCCAATCCTCCTCTTTTTGCTGAGGAAGATTGGCCCTGAGCTAACATCTGTGCCCATCTTCGTCTGCTTTATATGGGATGCCACCACAGCGTGGCTTGACAAGTGGTGCGTCGGTGTGTGCCTGGGATCCAAACCTGTGAACCCCGGGCCGCCGAAGCAAAGCGTGTGTGCTTAACCGCTGCGCCACTGGGCTGGCCCTGAAATATTTTCTAATTTACCTTGTGATTTCTTTTTTGACCCATGGATTGTTTAAAACTATGTTGTTTCAGTTCCAATTTTGGGGGGCTTTTTCTAATATATTTATATTTTTTATTTCTAATTTGATTCTGTTATGGTCGCATAACATACCCAGTATTATTTCAGTCCTCTGAAATTTATTGTTACTTGTTTTATGGTCCATCCATTTGGTGAATATTTCCTAGGCACTTGAAAAAAAATTTGTATTCTGCTGTTGTTGGGTCAAGTGTTCTATAAATGTCAATTAGGTCAAGTTGGTTTATAGTGTTCAAGTTTTCTGTATCCTAACGGACTTTTTTGGCCTACTTCTTTTATCAAGTGTGTTGAAATCTCCAACTATTATTGTAGATTTGATTATATCTCCTTTCAGTTCTATCAGTTTTTCTTCATGTATTTTGAAGTTCTGTTATTAGGTGCATGCATGTATAGGATTGTTATATCTTGATGAATTGACCTTACATCACAATGAACTGTCCCTCTTTTTCACTGCTAATATTCCCTGTTCTCACATCTACTTTGTTGGATTTTAATAGAGCTATTCCATATTTCTTTTAATTATTGATTGCATTTCATATATTTTTTCATCCTTTTGCTTTTTATCCATCTATTTCTTTATATTTAAAGTGGATTTTTTTTTAAACAGCATATACTTGAGTCTTGCTTTTTTATCCGATTTTAAAATCTCTACCTTTTAATTAGAACATTTAGACCATTTATGTTCAATGTAATTATTGATATATTTGGGTTTAAGTCTACCATCTTGCTATTTGTTTTCTGTCTCATTTGTTCCTTTCTTCTTTTTCTGCTCTTTTTTTGATTATTTTTAATTTTGTTTACCTCTACCTTTGCTATACCTCTTTGTTTTGTTATTTATGCTTTTATAACAGCTTTATTGAGATATAATTCACAAACCATAAAATCTAACC